GGAAGGAGAGGTGGTGGTGGTGAGCAGGTGGTAAGAACATGGTTTCTCTATGGTCTCAGCTGAGGAAGGTTTCTATTCATGTAGGCCACTCTTTTCCTGGTTCTTTGGCTAAAGAGAGCAGTCTTTTCTTGGGTCTTTCTTGTCTGTGTCTTTTAGTATTTGTAGGTTTCCAGCTTCCTCAGCCTCTATTTGGGAATATATGACAAGCAAAAGGACAACCCAGGAACTCACTGCTGTGTCATTCCCCAAATCCCAAGATCTGCCTTCTTTTTTCCACCCTTCAGACTCATGCCATTTGCTGTATTATGTCCAGGTTTTTTACTTGTACTTAGAAGAAGGAATAAGGTAAAGGAGTCCATTTCATTATGTCTGGAACTGGAAATCCTAATGCTCAAACCAAATGTATCTTCATTGATTTTATTAGTGACTCTAATAACTCATTTCGACACAACAGTTCACAAATACATTAATATTCCAGACGCACGCACGCACGCACGCCGGCGGCTGGCGGGCGGCAGTCTCGCGCCTGGGCTCGCCCCGCGGCGCGCCAGAGGATCGCGCACTCAGCAGGTTGGGCTGCGGCGGCGGCAGCTGGTGCAGCTGGGGTGCTGCGTGTGAGAGGTCCCAGAAGCGTCTGCGGCTTCACCTCCGCACCCTCCGCCTCTCCCACCCCAGTCCCCGTGCGGAGTGCTGAGGAAGGGAACGGCGATAGCCTCGGGAACCCCGAGCACACCCTTGGCTGCTTCCAACACCGCCCTCCTTCCCTTCCCAGCCGCGGGCCTCGCTCGGTGCTAGGCGACTCTGCGGGGAGGCGGCGGCGACGGCTGCCTGTCTTTGGAGAGATCTGCTGCCCTCCGGCCTTGCTCCTCCGCCGGGCCCTGCAGGGGCCGAGAGAGCTCGGCGCCCGCCCTTCCGCTCGCCTTCGACTGCCGGTTGGAGCAGCGTCGGTCCGGGAGGTCTCTGGGCTGAGGCGCCGTCAGCTCCTCCGGCTCCAACATGTCCGCGGGCGGAGACTTCGGGAATCCGCTGAGGAAATTCAAGCTGTGTTTCTGGGGGAGCAGAGAGTTGGAAAGACATCCTTGATCACCAGATTCATGTATGACAGCTTTGACAACACCTATCAGGCAACAATTGGCACTGACTTTTTATCAAAAACAATGTACTTGGAGGATCGAACAATCAGGCAGCAGCTGTGGGATACTGCGGGTCAGGAACGGTTCCGTAGCCTCATTCCCAGTTACATCCGTGATTCTGCTGCAGCTGAAGTAGTTTACGATATCACAAATGTTAACTCATTCCAGCAAACCACAAAATGGATTGATGATGTCAGAACAGA